CACACACACACACACACACACACACCCCCCCAACAGAAGAAAAATTCTTCGACAGTCAGCAAAATAATTCTCCACCCACTTTTCCTCCAGTTTTTTTCCTACATATTTAGTATACTTATCAAGTATAATTAACTGGAGTGCCATACTGTCTCTGGAAGGCCCATGTCATGATGGATGTTTCACCCTCAAGACTGTCTGGAGCCAGAGGTACCAGATCAGTGTCCTGTCATATTTTGCGAACGCAGGTATAAATAAAGAGCACTTCACAGAGCCCTCCAGTTCTTGCCATTCAGAACAATGGAATGCACCTTACAGCTTAGTTAGTCTAGCAGGATAATATTACATTAACCCAGGCTTGAAAACAGTACATAGACATGTCACTCACCTCCAGCAATTGAGCCCAAAGTGAACCTGTAAGCAGACTCAGCTATCTGGAGCCAGATAGACCTGCCCATATCTCCATAAGATTGCTATGGGAAAAAAGACAGATATGAGCATTTGAAAGTCCTGTGGGAAAAATCAAGGAGCCTATAAATTAGCTTTTGTAAAGTTAAAGGAAGAATTTGCTATAAAATGGCAGCTCTAAGACAAAAAGAAAAAGTACTGAGTAACTTCATTTGGAATAACAGGCAGCATTTTCAAATAAAACTTGCATACAATACTACCTTTCCAGTATTCCTGGTCTGAACAAACCAAGTGCACTTGAAAAGTGTTTTACTGATGGGAAAAACAGATTACATAAACAAAATGCAAAATCATCTTTGCTATGTTTCTATCTGACCCTGTGAGGTGCTAAGCATTCTCAATTTCTCCCAGCTTCAATAGAACCTGAAACCTAAATACCTCAAAGGCAGAGCTGAGCTGAATAAACAAAAATCTTATGCTAAGTTTACTGCCAAACTGTAAAGTGAAATACCTATTGCAATGCAGCATGGATTGGCAATGTACATATCCCTACTGGCATTGGTATTATGTTCCATATATAGAAATCTGAAGTGTATATATTCTGTTATATTTTCCTTTATTTGACTTTATTAAATGTTAAATGAATGGAACAGAGCCAAATTTAAAGAGAATACAGCTATGACACAGTCCAAGTACAAGTGTACCCACTAATTTACTTACTTTATTATGGGGGATTTTAAAAGTTGCTTTGTGCAAACTATCCCAACAACAACACTTTTTACTGCTGGGCCCCTGATCAATACTAACATAAGGGAGGCACAGCTTTGAGTCAAAAAGAGGGTGGATCTTCACTGGGTTTTAATATAAATTAAATAGCAGATGTTCACTGAACATACCCAGTATGTCTTAGATCTTGCATTGCGTGGGTTGCTGCTAGACTGCTTCACTGAATTTAATAGAGCTTCATGCTGCTCATAAATGACACAATGCAGGAGAAACATGTATGAGATTAAGCAAAGTTTAATGATTTTTAAATATAATTAAAAAAAACCCTTTTACCTAGGCTCTCTCTCATTTTAAATAAATAAATAAATAAATAAGGCTAAAACATGGCCATCAAATTTCTTCTCCAAAGCAATCTACTGGAACACAAACTAAAAGAGAACAGGCAAAAACATAATGAAGGCAGCACAAAACGTTTTTTTTACTAATGTAGCATTTTTAAAACATAAAAATATAACCAAAGGTATTTCTTCTGATGTAACATCAGCAGTATATTCAGTATATTTTCTCTATAGGGACAATGGGAAAGAAAGTGGATAAACCTGGAGAATTTTCCCGCTAATCCAAGAAGAACTAAGTTAAATGTTCAAGACTGAAAAAATACCACCAGCACCAACATACAGGTGTCTCAAGATTCACGCTGATGAAAGATACCCACTCTAGTGAATGCCAAAAAGTTATGGAAAAGAGCTAGTCCTTTCAACTCTTAACAGTTTTCTCCTGTTCTTAGCATGCTTACTTCTTTTTAGCCTTTTAAAGAGGTTTTCTTCCCTGCGAGCTTCATAGAGCTCCCATCAAAACCAAAGCATTATACTAAGACTTAAATCCTAATGAATACATCACCGGATGGTAAACTCAAATTCTTGTGAAGAAAATGCCACTTTTATCCCATTAAATGAATATTCACTATAGTTTGTGATCCACTTATATGTTCAGATGGATATGTAAATGAGTATAATTAATGCTATAGCTTTCAGATCATGAATATTTATAAACAGAAAATTACTGTAGCTGTCATCCAAATGTAACCACCATGATATTCAGCTGCTAAGTTTAAAAAAAAATCTTCTACGATGATAAAACCCATCAGCAAACATGGCTGAAAGCAGACTAATATTCATTCATGCAAAGTCTATAGAAACAGATAGAGACTTATGTTACTGTTCTCATTTTTCAGGGGAGAAGAGAGGGAGAGAGTCCACTTTCCCTTCCAAGCATAGCTCCCTTGGCACAATAGCCTAATCCAATAAGAAAGGTCTTCTTTCTCTTGTCTAAGATACTCAGTGTTATGCTGTGGAAGATAAACTAAGTAAAAAGTCTAGAAGTGGAAAATCTACCATATTTTCTTACATACAACATGCACCTCCCCCCCCCAGTATTCAGCAAAATTGGGATGCAAGTTTTAAGTAGGGAAGCAGTTTTCCTCACTATAAAAGAAGCAAGCCTGCAGACACTGTTCATGCCATGCAGTGGTCCTATGATAACCCCTTCACAGCCATAGCTATTGACTGAGCACTGTTGTGCCCAAAAGCAGCAACTGATCTACTGGCAGTATTTTGATGACGCTTGTGATACTGACACAATACTTTATTTACAGGAACTTGTATAAACCACTACTTATACAAGTACAATTCAGAGTAAAATGCTAACAGTCTTGCTCCTGCCCTTGCAAGGATCTGAGGCCTAACCTTGTATAGCATGTAGAAGCAGCATGATATCCCAGGAAACAGTCTGGATGATACAGTGAGCACTAGGAACTTACTGGAGCCATTCTTTCTGGACCCTCAATATTTCCAGGAGGACTTACTTTATGTCACATAATCAGCCATAACTCTAGAAAAATCTCCCCCACCCCCATATATTCTGCTTTCCAAAAACAAGGTGCATGTTTTATTTGGGGGTGTGCTGTGCATGAGAAAATATAGTAAATACAGTCTCCTTCTGCCAGCGTAGGATTGTTCTCAAGAAAACCAAGGAAAGGAAATGACTACTCTTTGTAAAGAGCATTTAGAAAACAATAATAGCCAGAATAAAGACACAGAATAGGCTGGAAGAAAGCCTTACTCCATGAGTAGAAGGGTTAAAGGAGAATATATTTTGTGCCAAGACCATGTCAGGAAAGGGAGACAAAAGGGGGCAAGGTAGTAGAAATGGACTATTACTAGGTGGGTGCATGTTTTTTTTGCCAAACTCCTTTTTCAAAGTGGGGTGTGCCTGCTACTTTAAAGGAGTAAGCAGCCTGAAAGACGACTAGCAGGTGGCAAAGGGGGCTAATGAGAGACTCGCCTGACCGAAAGAGGCTGGAGCTAGATAAGCCCAGAGCCTGAACCAGTCATGCATTCTCTCTCTCCAGCAAACATGAAGTAAGGAGCTTCTGGCAGCAGAGGTCCTAAAGGGACATGGATTTAGCTAAACAACTCTACAAGCCTGGGAACAGAGGCAAGCTCCCTGGGCAGAGAAAGACTGGGTTTTACAAGCAAGTGGCCTTTGTTTTATGTTAAACCCCTAGAGAGTTTGAGGTGTCTGCTAGAGGAGTGCAATGCTTCTTGTTTATTTAACTTGTACTGGTAGTCTAGCCTCGAGTCCTGAGGTGACAGGCTCAAGGCCTACTTAGAGAACCGGTAACCCAGAAGCCCACAGACAGAGTGCGGCTCAGTAAGAAATCCAGGAGCCTAGGAAAAGGCTGAGATCCAGACAAGAGGGTTGAGGAAACTGAGACTGAGCCCAGAGAAGGGGCTGCATGCAGGACCAGAGGTCCGAGAACCCAAGGGGGCTGAGTATACAAATAGCTAATATCAAAGAGAGAGAACACCCATGAGGCTTGGGCATGGTATAGGGGAGGAATGGAGCCCTGAAGCCTATGGGTGCTGTGGGGAGGCACAGAGATGCATGTAACCCTTGAAACTACAGAGGCCCTGCAGAGGCACAGGTCAGCTGAGAGTGCCCACTGAGCTTAAGGGTCGCATCAAAGCTGTTGGGCATCCAGGAGAGATCAGTAGCACTGCAAATAGACTAAGGCTCACTCTAAGGCCCGTGGGCAGCCTGCCTCATTCAACCTCTAGTAAGAACAACATGCAGCAGGAAAGCAACTAAGGGAATGGTGTGATAGAGACTGAGCCCTGCAGGAGTCACTCGGCCACCAGGTGGGATCACAGCTGCCCTTGGGCAAGAACCTGCCACACAAACAATTGGAAGCTACAGAAATCATTCTGTCTAATGAAAAAAGCATTCTAAAACATTCTGTATGATGGGAAACACCATGAAGATACTAATGAAAACCAAAATTCAAAGCTGCACCTTAAAAATGCAATTTCATATTGTTGACCAGTACTTTTCAAAGTTTTCATTTTCACCCGTCCAGACAAGTATCTGTCTGGAGTCTAGAAGGGAGGAAAAGATTGAACAGATTGATGCAAAAATCTATGAAACAGCTAGTTACTGGTCAAATATTTTTGGACACCTACTTCATTAGCCTAAGTATGTGTGTACTTAAAAGGATGTGACAGAGCAGTCAAGGACAAACACACCAGAAACTGAGCATGGAGAGCCTATTCAACCCACCAAAATATACGACAAGTCACAGAGTTCATGTACAGAATTTCCTTACATTTTATGCTGTTCAAGACTTTATAATAACCCCTGTGGGACCACACCTCAGTCACAGCAGTTCAGTAGATTTAAGATTTCTTCAACAATACAAGACTTAAACTTCAAATTTTCTGTGATTTCCTTGCCAGCTACCCTTGGGAATTTCTCTCTTTTCCAATTACACAGCCCTACAGACTGTTTTTAGTCTTTGCTGTGCCTGCTTTTTCCTCAGACCTCAAGAAGAATGAATTGTATTTGAAATTTGCCTAAGTCGGTGATTCTCAACCGTGGTGCTGTGGCAGCTTGGGGTGTTGCAAGAACCTTCTGGGGATACCACAACACCAGCACCACCATGACAAGGTTATATTATCCCATGTGCCTCTGTTTTCAGGGGGCATGTTGGAGCTAAGCTAAGAAGTGGCTGCAGCAGAAAGGCACAGCTGCCTGTATCAAGCAGGCAAGTGTGCCACTTCTGCTACAGCTCTTCCTGATTCCGCTCCAACATGCCTCCTCAAAACAGAGGCATGCAGGGCAGTTCTACTTCATGAAGTAGCATTTATCCACAGGCAGAACTGTCCCATACACCTCAATTTTCAGGAGAAACAGCAGAAGTGGACTAGAAAGAGCTGTGACAAAAATGGAATATGTAATGTAATGTAGGCAGGTGCAGCTTTCTCCTGCAGCCGCTTCTCAGTTGAGCTCTGACATACCCCTTGGAAACAGAAGCATACTGGATGGTTCCATCTGCCCTGTGTGCCTCTGTTTCTGGGAGACACCATGCACAGCTGGACCAGCAAGGGTTGTGGCAAGAGTATACACTCCTGCCACAGTTGCTTCCCAATCTGACTCTGCAGGTGGTACACAGTGTGGTGGGGTGAATGTAATTACAATGTCAAATCAAATACTACATACTAAGTACTAAGTAAAATGTTTATATTACAACATGAATGATATATTTAATTAGTTTTTAAAATGGAATACTCCTAAGTTTCAAAAAGTTTTGGTGGAGTGCTTTGAGTCTAAAAAGGTTGTTAGTCACTGGTCTAAATGTATCCCATCCATGCAGTTGGTCCAATAAAAGATATCACCCACAAAAATCTTTGCCTCTTGCATATTTCCTAGACCATCAGGGCTACAACATCATTCCAACAGTATCTTAGACTACCAGAGTCTCTCTTGTGGATGTAATTGCTCATAGGGATTTCAGATGCACAGGGCTTTTAATCAAAGTGAGCTAAAAGAGGCAAGGGGCTTTCTAAAATCCCTGATATTTCCAAAAGTTAAGAGATTTCTGAAAAGTTTTTTTTCCTGTTTCCACCCCCACCCCTCCAAGAGATAGCAAATCACATGGCCATTAGACTGACAGACACTCAGAATATAGGTTTGCATCCTGGAGAAGAAGCTAATAAAAAAAAATTGTCACTGGAACATGTATCTGAAATCATTTATTTTTCACTTGACAGTACCCGCCTCATATGTATTCAGTATCTACCCTGGATACTAAAAAGTCTTCTAATATATTCTTCTTAATTCACAAGATTGGTTTTCTCTATACCAGCAAACATAGAAAACCCAAATCATTGTTCCAAAAGCAGCTAACTTGATGTAAGCCATGTGGTAAATAAAACTCAGACAATACCTTCCTTAAAGGCTTACTTTAGATGGTACAGCTTTATATGGAACTAAGTTTATTAAGATTTTATAGACTGAAAGCATAAATAAAAGAATCCACACCAATAACATAATCAGGTGCTGCATCCTTTTCTTTGTTTTTTCATAACTGAATTTGGGGCCAATTATATAACCACATAACTCGTCACATATGCCTTTCTGAATTTTCAATGCAACTCTTTCAGTTGCCTGTTTTCACTGCAGTGTTAACTTGAGTGTTGATAGCTCAAGTTAATGCCTCCTGATTTAGGTTAGTAAGAATGTCATACTGAAAAACATTCTAGCTGCATAATGTACTTGTAGCAGCAGCAGAATCCCACTGTATTATTTGCTCTAGCTTTGGCAGCACTTGAGCTTCAACTAAATCCTGGTTCAGGCCAGTTAGCTCAATTTTGAATTGTCATTTAATTACAGCTTGAAAAATATCTTGACATAAGAACACAATGAAGAATCTCAGAATGTGAGCTATCTTTTCTTTGGAATTTAAGAATCATATTTTTAAAAGGCCTTAGCATCCAATGACTGCTACTGAAAGCCTATTTCATTTAACATATACATCAACACTTGTATATCAAAACATGAAAGAAATGAATGTCTGAGCCTAACATGCTATATAGGACACCTATATTTAAGGTATGTGAAATTTCTATAAGAGCAAAGAAAGGCGTCAGATGGAGTAAAGAGTTAACATAATGTACATATAGCTATGTTTACAACATTATGGTAAAGGTTAATATGAAATTGAAAGAAATAAAACAAAGCTCTGAGATTTCCAGAAATGTTTCAAAGCATCAGCAGATATGTTTTTAAATAGTTTTAAAAGTAAAAAATCTAAGTACCTGGTATTTCAAATTACTGAGAATTTCCTTCGGTATAGAGCCCAAAATCTTGTCAGAAAACTATTCAATGAAAGACTTGTTTCACAAAGGGTATTTTTGCTTTTTTTTTTTTTTTTTTAAACTTTCATCCTTCTAGGAATAGATTTCTGTACATGCTTATACAGAATCAGAGATTCTGGTCCATATAAGAAGTCCTTCAGGAGAAAATAATGTTATTTTTAATGAATAAGTATTCAGCAGTCTTACAAACACTTTCACATAAGCATTTTTACAATTTATTATAGCTATTATTATTTCTACCTACCTGCCTCTGAAGTTCTGCTATGTTGTAAGGCAAGGCACCTTCCGCCAAAGGTGCTATTCTGTCAATATCTGCCAAAGTCAAGCGCCTTTAGGAAAGACCAAGAAAAATAAAACCATTGTTAGACAGAAAAACAAACAACTACCTCTTTCCTTTGCCCCCTCCCCCATTAATATATCCCCCTAAATAGATTAGAAGCTACTGTAGAGAAATCCAGTCCTGGGAATTATGAGCCTTTTCTACTTTCCTTGTCCATAAATGGGAGAAAAAAATTCAGCACTATCTAGGATTGAGTCCTTGGCACCTGGTAGCACAAGAACTGCGTTTATTAAATGAGTAGCCATTCCATACCTCATCCATACCTCATAATATATCTCACATGTGATGCTCTACCCAAGACAGCCCCTCTACTTAAAGTTTATATTATCAGCATAATAATATGCTTTATGTTGTGATATACTAATTATCCTGTGACTAGTGAACATGTTTGATATTCATATTTATACTATGCAACACATATTCTGCTAATTATTAGTAATGAAACACTACAAAATGAAACAGATCCACTTTGGGGTAAGTATAAATGTTACAGCAGAAATAATATAATTCTTACTATTAATAGAATTAAAATGATAGTTACAAAATTACCCTGTAGCACTGTATAAATCTGAAAGCTGGTAGAGGATATCAATTTCCAGTGGTGTAACCTGTCCAAATTTGATTGCAGACTGGGTAAATTCCTCTGGAAGCAGGAAGAAACAAGTTAACTGATTCTAGTTCAGTTTTCACTTCAAATATGCATTACTAATATTAAGAGCTATCATTGGACAGGCTACTCAGGAACAACATCTAGAAAAGAAACAAAAGCAACCAAAATAGTACTAAATCTATTTCAAAATAGTATGAAGCATAAAGTAAGGCTAATCCCATTTATGGCAAGCAGTTCCCACTAAAGTCCACAAAAATTCTTATATAAGCAAGGCCAGCAAGATTGGACACAATATTTGTAGTTCTTTTTGTAACAAAGCTACTGCAAAAGCAGATCATGATAGAACATGGTTTTAATTCATTAAACAGCTGAACCAATCTTTTCAGGGTTCCTTCTTCCCACAGCACTCCTTTACCCAAGTCTGGGTGTAACTACCTATTGATATACTTGTTTTTGTAACATCATGATGCTCCTCTGATCATTTAGCTGAATAGCATTCACATTTTTTTTTCAGAACAGAGAGTACACGGGTCATATTTGTGCAGCAACACCTACAAAAATAGGCAAAAGCAGGCAGATATCACTGCATATTAGAAAATCTGGGTAGATATCCCATGCTACCCTCTAAGAATAGAGAATGTTAAAGTAACCTAGGCGGTACAATTTACTCTGAAATGTTATACTGCATGCAAAAGTGGGAGGAAAAAGGACGAGATAACATTTTTTTATCAGTGTTATGACCAACAGGTCTCTCCACCTAGGCAAATTACTGTTATAAAATGGCTACAGAGGGCCGGTCAGCTCACGCCACTAAACAGAAACATGGTTAACTTTCAGCAATGCTGTGTGGACAAAAATCCTAGTTGCCACCAAATGGTTAGCAACTATTAAAACTGGGGAAATAACAGTCACTGCAGTATCACAGAGGAACAACTAACAGGAAATGCGAAGCTTTTGATGATGGATTTTTAAGCTAAAATAATTTTCCCACATGCTGTATATTTTCAAAGGGTTTGTCCACAGAATGCAATGCAGTGGCATGCTGAAATACTTTACTCGTGTACTGAAAGCAACGTGGCTTGGGTTGAGTACCACACTAATGTGACTAGTATAGCTTGCAGCTCAACAAGATGAATTAGTCTGGAAGAATACCATTGTAATGTAACTATACTACTTATGGTATGAGACAGAGTTCAGGTATCTCCATATGGCATCCCTATGTCAAGGAGAAAACACATTAGAACCATGCCCTCAAGCTACCAGGACCAGATAAAGCTTCTGCCCAAACCCTGAAAGCTCCACTCTATAATGACACAGCTGGAAATCCTTGCTGGCCTGTGAAATCCAAAACAATGCAGGAGAACTACATGCAGAATCAATATGGAAACACCGATAACAACACTAAACTTCAATGTTACAGTCACCTCTGACTAGCCTTGGACCATGCACAGTATTAAATATCAACTTTTATTGATCTGAAAATTAATAAAGAAATAGTAAATGTATTTTACCTTTTGTGATTTCAGTATCTTTCCTTGTACCTGCTATAATACTGTATATTTTTCTAACAAGATCCATGTTATTCAGCAGGGCATTAAAAGCATTGAAATAGGAGAAGCTGACCTGGTGTGAAATACTTCCACCTGCTACCTTGAAAATAAATAACAGAAAGATAAAACAAGCCCTAATATGAGTTCAGGTTTTTAATGAGACCTCTGCAACCCTTGGTCACCCAAAAACATATTTACTGCAAGCCAGTGTCCACATCTTGTAAACATACAAAAAATAAAATACTTCTACCACTGCAAATTTTCATTTTTTTTAAGCAGTAGTAGGGATGAGAACATCAGCAGATAGCCAATATATTAATGTCTTTGATTCAAAACGAACGATAAGAAACAACTAAAATCTTCAGAAAGCGACTACAGAATTAGACTGCTGTCCAACATTGTTAATAGAACATGACATAATTTCTTCAGTGGTGAAATTTATGCCAGTTTTATTTTAGGTAAAGGAATTAATTGTCTATAGTAAGATGTGTTCATTTTAAATTGTAAGGTAATTACTCAGTACAAATCTTTACCAGGTTAAGACCTCCCCCCCACCAAATAATTTAAATACATGCTTAATTTTAACCATGTAGTAGTCCCCATCAATTTCAATGAGACTTCTCATGTGTTTAACAGCTTTGCCAAAATGGGGCCTTGAGTATTATGCCACAAAACAAAACAACCCCCCCACATCTTACACAGTAGCCCCATTAAAGGCCACCAGGGCTACATATAAGTAAGATTTTGAAAAATCCAGTTCACCTTGTGTTTTTTATCATAAAACTATTGCAATTCAAGGCACAGTTAAGGCTTTACTTACAAAGAAAGAAAACATTCAATTGCTAACAACAAATAATCTTGCTGCCAGTCACATAGTACAACTCTTTACTAATATTACTTCCACAAAATCACCAGTTTGTATACAAGTTCTCTCTCAGGGATGTCATTATATTACCAGCACTGCTAATAGAGAGGGAAATAAGGAGTTACAAGGTACAGAGACATAAAACAGAGCTCAGTTAAATTAAAGACATTTTTTCTTTACACTTACTGATACTAAGTTTTCTTCCACAAATGGAGTGAGCATGTGTGAACGAATGGTAATCATGATATCACTGAAGTCCAATCCAGTGATCGTTCCACTTTTATTTTTGTCTTTTATGGCAAAGGCTTGTCTTGCATGTTCTAACTGTAGCTCCTAAAATAAGATGATTAGAAGTAACATATTAGGAGCTCATTCTCTTACACCCACTGATTTCAGCTGCATCTCTAGGAGCATGTGTGCATTTTATGCAACGGAAATTACAAAAGAATCATAGAACCATAGAAAATTAGGGTCAGAAGGGACCCCAGGAGGTCATCTAATCCAACCTCCTGCTCAAACCACCACCATCCCCAGCTATATCATCCCAACCAAGGCTGTGTCTAGCTGGGTCTTAAAAACCTCCATGGATGGAGATTCAACAGTCTATCTGGGCAGCCTGTTCCAGTGCTTTACTACCCTCCTAGCGAGAAAGTGTTACTGCCATTCAAATGCACGTGTATGCTCATTTTTACGTGCCCACCAGTGCCAAATAGAGGGAAATAATCACTTCCCTCAATCTGCTGGCAACACTCCTACTAATGCAGCCTAGTATGCCATTAGCCTTCTTGGCAATAAGGGCACACTGTTGGCTCATTCAATTTATTGTCCACTGTAACCCACAATAGTTTAATAAAACAAGAAAAATATTCCATCCCTGCCAACTCCAAATCAAACCTGTAATGTCTCCATACCACTTCTGCTTATCAAATACTCTTTTCTATGTTAGAAAAACCTGGCTGAATAGCCAACAAATGTAGGCTTTGTTAAAAGAAAATGGGAAGCACATTTCATATTTCAAGACCCAGTGCCACATCTGCCATCTCCTCATGGTTAAAATCAAAGGGCTGTTAGCAAAATATACTCAATGATCTCCCTCAACGCCAATCTCATGGATAAGTCATTTTATACTCTACTCAGAATTAAACGCTACAATTTAATCTAGAGCCTCAAAACCTGGAAGATAGTTAAATCTTCAGAATATAGGTTGAGCGTGCCACTGACAGAAGCACTTCTTAACAACTTGCCACTGAATTTTATGCCATTTAAAGTTATCTTGAAAAATAGTTTAATCTAAACATGAAGAAGCAACTTGCAGAAAACATTGGTCTGGGTCATGCTACTAAATTCTGTATCCAACAAACAAACAGATTCTCTCTTCTTCTAGTCAGGGATGATAAAGCATACCCTCATCTTCAGCTGTTAAGCAAGTACAGATCCAAATTAATGCTAAAGTTCTAAATCAAGAGCAATAAAAAATTAGGCACAATTTTGTGGCACACATCAACTGTACCAAGGCAGCTGGTTCCTTCCTAGATCTACTGTTATCATCCAGGCAAACCTAAATTTAAATTGCAATGGGGTTGCCGGTATTGGGATTGGGATTTGGCTTGCTAAATTAGCTGAATATGCCACAGCCAAATCTACCTGAGGAGTAGGTGGAAGAAAAGGGGGTAAAGGAGAATATACTCTTAACACTGGGTCACTAGCATAATGAAGAAACCAGTCTACATTACATCTCTTTGGCCCCTAAAGTCTTGTTTAAAGGAAAAGTAGAAGAGACAAGATAGAAGCTTAATGTAGTCCACATTGGAGCATCATTGGGAGAGAAAAAAGTCATCCATCACTTTTCTCTAGGCCCTCAATAAAAATATAATTCATTGGCAATTGTGCCTGGGTCAGACAATGTCTACTGCTTGTGCTACCAATGCCTCAGGGTAATCAATATGAAAAGCTTAAGTTTAAGTTTTTCTCAAAGGGCATTGTAACTACAATAATTGTAAGAGATTGTATTAAACAGATTTCATTGCCCAATTTGCAATAGATCTTCCATACACACTACTGACTTCAGAAACCTTCTTAATCAAATTATATTTTCAGTGCCTGAAGCATTTCTTTATCCTAAACTACAGCATAGGGATTTATCCCTCAAACAGTTTATTAATATCAGCTAACTCTGGAATTATGTTGCGTGTGAAATTCTAGCTAATATGAAAATGTATAGTAAGTATTAGGATAGAATTTACTGAATTAAAAGCAACATGAAGCAGTATAATAAAGTAGGAAGGTAAGCTACAGAGTAACAGCCACTGGAGGCAGTCAGTACCCAGTCTCTCTCCCACTGAAATTAGCTTTATTCTTGCAGTAAAGCAAAAACATGATTAGAAACTCACAATTTAATTTGACACCAACAAGAAGGGGATAGTTTAAAAGACAATGCAATTAATCCTACCTTTACACAGAACAGTGGATACAATTAAAATGCACAGTGTACACTACTTACAGAAATGGTACAGTACAGTGACAATTTAGTGGTGTTCCAATTAATCCAACATATAGTAAAACTAACATTTATAATCTCTGTTACTCATGCTACATCAATGCTGAACAATTTTTCACTGACAAAATAAACAACTGACCTGCAGAAACTGAGTGAACTCTGAGTAGTTAAGATGCTTCTTCCTGTTGTGTCCAAAGTGCAGTCGAATGAACTCACAGTCCCAATTGAAGGGGATGTGATGATGAACAACGGTTTGTCCAAAAATTTCTTTGATATTTTCTTTAAAAGACAAAAGTCAATGAGTTGTAAGCCAAGACAGTGAACGTGAGATGTTGCTGGTAAAAAGCAGACCAGCAAAATTTAAAAAAAAGAAAAAAAAAAGTAAAAAATGCTTTAGTTCCTTTCACTGTATCTGCCAAGGTTTTCATTTGAAAACTGGTATAGGACCATCTGATACAGAACACATTACTTGGTGTATTACACTATAAAACCTGAATTGTTTTCATTTGCTTTTAATTAATAGGCAAGTTCTCTTGTGCACTATAAATAACTGCTATTTTTCAATCTGTATAAAAATAGTGGTTTTCCCCATCTCTACAAGAAATGAAATTAAGTTCTTTATCAAAAGCATGAATACCAAAATTAGTCTCATACAACATTTGTCATACTAAGCATGGTTTGACAGAATTATTTCAGTCGCATTAACCAGAATATCTACTGAAGACATTTTAGACAATATCTCTTATAACTTTCATTAGTTCAATAGAATGTACCTTATTAAAAAGCTTCTCATGTTAAAAATATAGCCGTGGCACAAAAGTAAATCCCATCATGTGATTGATAGTCTCAGTTACTAAGATATATTACTATAATTTAAGTTAGAGATGCTGCATTTTATATAAAGAAAAAAATTAATATATATTTTATGTATACTCGGACAGCTGAAATCCTGATGGCTTGTCCTATGACATATTTGTGTTTGGTAAACAAAGCTTGATCAATTTGGAAAAATGTATATGGAACATGGGCCTCCTTCACATACATTACCATGACTGTGTACACATGTCTGCTTTGTGGGTACAAACAGGCAATTGAACAAATTTGGCTATTTATACACATAGCAGGAAGGGAGAAAAGAATGAAAATCCATAGAAGAGCTCAGAGTCTCAGATCAAATAATATACAGGACTGGTTGTCTTCTATGTATCATTTGCTTCAGAGTGTACTACAGATTATGTATTTTAAAAAGGGAAACTTGTACTGCAAGATAGAAGATATAGAAGAACTTTGTAACTAATTTAACAGTCAAATATAGACTACGTTGATAATGTCAAATTGCTTGGGTGCAGAGTGTGACAGGAAAGAACTGAAGAATGTGCTGAGAATGCTGAGTGATCAGAAATGTTTGTCCATATGCCTCCAACTACTTTAGATCAGGGGTTGTCCACCAGGGGTACGCATACCCCCGGGGGTACTAAGGAAGTAAGCGTGGGCAGGCAGGGACAGAGCGCTGCCATGCACTATCCCGTGCTGCCACAACCACCCAGCCAGATGCGGGAGGCGGGGGAAGCTTGCATGTGGCAGCTGCTGCCACTGAGTTCAGCCTCACACCCTCTCCTTTCGCCCCCCAGCATCCGGCTGCTGGGGGTACACTGATCCGCATCTGGCTGCCGGGGGTACACTGATTCCAAAAGGTTGAAAATACCTGCTTTAGATGTCTGGTCTCAAACATAAAATGAAAGTGCAAAGCAAAGGGTACTCCTTTTCTCGCATGGAATTATTCATATTTCTTCTATGCTAGGGCCTGTTCCTGAATTGCTTATGTTTAGGCCAGACTAAAAAATTAAAATTGAGCACATCATGATGTTCCTTCAGCCTTTACACAATTCTTTGTTCCAGTGGTCCCCTACAGTCTACTTAGAATTCTGGGAATGAGTCTCCTCCTTCATTAAATTCTTATAGGTATATTATACCTATTTGAGCACCTGACGAATATAAAAAGGCCTTGAATTCCCATAGATTCAGTGAGATTTAGGTGCTTAAATGCTTCTGAAATCCTACTGAGTGCCTAAACAGCTTTAAAAATCTGGCCAAAAATGGTTTAACTACTTTTGAAAATTCACAGTAACATCACCCATGTTTATTGTTTAGAACTATTAAAGAGACCTGAAAGTAGCTAGTACATATTACATTTCTTACAGATCCAGTTTATCTAAGGCTGTGAACAGATGTAGTTTATTTACCGGAATCCAAACTAACTAAATTGAAGGCAACCCCACAATAATTAGATTCTATACATGGAAAATTTATAAATTTGTTACAGTTATCTACATATAGAATCTAACTTTTCGGGGGTCATCTTAAATTCATGCCTCTCCTCCCCCCACCACTGCAGTGGGAAAAACAGTGGGGGAGGACAGGTAGGGGAGGTAGACATTAGGGCTAGGGACAGACATTCAAAAAGCCCAAGCCTGAATTGATTCATTCTTTGTAGGTTAGTCTAAGCTGAACAGCTTAAACTGATTAATAACTGGACAGATATTCTCTGTTAAACCAGGAAATGCAGGCACATGCCTGCAATGGCTCAAGCTAGAAGATGGGGGGCGCCAGAGCATGCATGCCAGCCACTGCCAAAGGGGTGGAAAGAGATGTCCTCTAGGGTGCTCACCCCTCCCTGCTTGAGTGGAGGGGGCATAGCCAGGCATCAGCCAGGGCTAGCACAACACACAGGATGCCAGCCACCAGCACATGGGGGGGCAGAAGGGACAGGGGAGCTGCTGCCAGACTGAGGAGTGGGGATGGGGGAAAAGTCCTTTCTCTGAAGCAAACATATACTGAACACAGCAATTTCCAAAGCATACAACAGGAAACTACCAAAAACCTTTGCCTAGTAAAATACGGCATATACAACTTAGATTAACTTAAAATGTAAACCAGGAAGATAAACATTAGTCTTACTAATCCTGAGGGTACAGCCAGGCATTCAGAGAGACTTTGTTTAGGTATGTAGCTCTCTGTATTCTTTGGTGAATCTGTCTGCAACTTCCCTTAACTACATCTCCAGGATGTGTGATGATTATCAGGTCTTTGCCAACACTTCCCATCTTTCAGTCTGTTCCTGCAGGTCCTAGCTCTGGGCTCACAGGTGCAAGGCTTGGATCTGCACACAGGGGACTAGCTTGCCTCTCCCCCCTGCCTCCCTTTGGGACATGCTGTGGAATTAATCCCATCCCAAGCCAAAGAGACTGCAGCCAAACCCCCAGGGGTTCCGGGGCAGAGAGGGGACAGAGGGAGGAATTAACTCCATCCCTGCCTGGATGCAGGCAAGCCATAGAGGTGCAGCTGGGGCTGGAAAAAACAGCAGCAAACCCCAGGGTTTGCCAGTGGAGGGGGTGGGGAGAAAGGGGAGAGGGGATGGAGGGAGGAATTTGCCTCGGGCCATGGCCAGTCAGCATCTGGCCACACCCTGCCACTGCTTAGGCTAAACAGCAGAGGGAAGCGGTCAACCCAGTTCACTGGAGCAGAGAACAGAGCTTTGCCTAACCCAGGGAGCATGCCAGGATACTGGGTGAATCTGATTTAATATAAACCAGCAAGGGGTCTGGGACAGACACTGGATAAACTGGTTTGACCCAAATCAGTTAAGTCTGATACAGGCAGTCATCGACTTACAACATTTCGAGTTATAATGTTTCACACTTACAACATTTATAAATTGACACCCTGTTTCAACTTTATGGCATCAGTTTCGACTTTACAATGCTTGATCCAGTGTGATGCCATGCCAACGAATAAGTTTGCTGCATCGCTCATCTCCCTGGAGAACATCTGTCCAAACTGCCTTGTACACTTTCTTTAAGAAAGTAGACAACACTCCAGAAAAGCCTGCAGCCAAGACTCCTGAGAAGACTCCTGCCAAGAATCCTTCAAAAAGTCCAACCAAGAGCCCTTCAAAAAGTCTAGCAAAATCACCTCAAAGAAGTCCTTCCAAATCAATATGATTGCTACTTACAATATAAATGTATTAATGTAGCTATATTACTCATCTATAATTGACTGAGTTCAAAATTCTGGGTTATTTTTGGTGAAAATAGGGTATCGGTCCTTGGTTCAGGAACCAATCCACCATTTATAACATTGTTTCTTATGAGAAAATTGGTTCCAAGTTACAACAGTTCAACTTAAGACGTGGTTTTCAGGAGCCAATTGTGTTTTAAGTCCGAGGACTGCCTGTACAGCATTCAACCAGGTGTATCTCAAACTGGTTTTGGCCATTTTCAAACTGGTTAATGTGCACTGAATGTCTGTTCTGTTAAAGATTTAAACCAGTTTCTGATCACTTAAATTGGTTTCTGTGTAATGTCTGTCCCTAGCCTAAATGAACCCAGACTATGCAGCTTTAACAGTTGCATCCTAACAGCTTATACAGATATCATTTCAGATCCATAAAACTGATATTTCTGTCTATATTCTTATTATTTTGTTCTGCATGGATTTAATTAGACTCAGCAGCCAAAGAACTCATTGGCACATACACCATGCTCTGTAAAGAATGATGGTGCAGATTGATTGATTGATTGATTGATTGATCGATTTCATGTATAGCATTTAAGACACTCCAGAAAAAACAATGTGTATGTTGGAAATTATAGATACAATCAATAGTGTGAGTTTTAACTGTAATGTTTAAAAAGATTAGGCAAGCATCCTCAAAAAGGCACAGGAATTTGGTCCAAATTTTCTTCAGATAGACTAACTACATATGTCAAGGGTAGCAGTGATATTATCCAGCTACTTTTTTATGTGAAATGCAATGACCATCTGTTCAAATCTCTGCACAACTAAGTACAATAGTGAGGGAAGTCTCACTAGGATAATACAAGTAATGTTACTGTTTTGCCATGGTCTTGAACCCAGGGCTTTGGTTGCCAGGAATGACTGCTCAGGCTGGTCTGCCACCTCCCCAGCTGACTTTTCAGACCAGAGACAGCTGGCTGGAAAACTCCATGGCCACTCCCTGCCACCAGATTGGCTGGGAAGGGTCATCTGACTCTCCACTCCCTCCTATATATACTCCTGACCCAGAAAAGGAAGTATCTGGGCATGAATAGGAATTCACCCAGATTGCCTTTCTGTTCCTTACGGCTTATGATTCTACCTGTTCTCTGCTTGATCTCCTGGCTACTCAGCCTAGCTCCCTCTGACTTGGTGTTCTGCCTGATCCTCCAGCTTCCAGACTTGGCTTCTTGGACTGATCTTCTGCTTCCCTGGTACCTAGA